AAGTCACTGCTAGCCCTCAAAGCAGAGGAGGAAGATCAGACCAAGAGGACTGTTTCTTACCTGGACGCGCGTTGGGCTGCTGTTCGAACGCAGAAACAGGTGGCAGCGAGGCAGGCTGCTCCTTCTTATTTATTACTGTTCTCCTTTGAAGAGGGCGAGAACACCCTGAAGAACAAAATCTTCACATCAAAATCCTTACTGGAAAGGTAAGGCTACCCAAACTCAAACTCGCCCCAGACGAGGCAGCGAGCCCGCAGCCTCCCATGCTCGTACGGGACAGTTTTCTCACTGGGCATACGGAGCCATTTAGGAGTGTAGAAGATGCTCCAGGAAGAAGCGAAGAAACAGGGTGGTAGAGAGAAGAGGAAGAAAATCAGCCTCAGCTGCAGCCAACAGCCTCCTACCCCTCCCAAGCATCAGGGCACTCGGGAAAGTGCCTACACAGCAGCCCCGTGTGCCACCACGGCAGCTATGAGGCTTTTGGAGCTGCAGGTTGTCATCACCCCTCAAAACTTCCCCCACCCAGAGGTCCACACGCTCCTTGCCCTTCATCTAAGTAGGGAAGGCACCCAATGCACCATGGTCATCCACCACGTTCCCAAGTAGTTCAAACATGAAGAGCTTAGATGCTTTCCCAGGGTGGTCTCTCCTCTGGAATTCATTTGACATCGGTTTGAATAAAGCCACGCTTTTTCCTCGTGTGTTGTAAAGCTCATTTGTCCAGCCAGACCTGCCAGTAGCAGCGCACCGAGCTTCCCCGGGGATGAGCTTCCTCTTGATGTAACAGCCTGACTGACCATGGCTACTGGAAGCGCAGGAACCTGGATGCCTCCACAGAATCTCACTGGCAACATAAAAGATGCTTTCCCCATCAGCACAGCACATTTCTTTCCTGACAGATGAAGGGAGAAGCTGCTTCATACTTCACCTCAGTTCTGAAATAAACAAAAAGCTAAAAAAATACTGTCCTGTCTAAACCCAGGAATTTTAAGAGCATAAAAGCTTCTGAGTCAGACCATAAATCCAGCTTGCTTCATACTCTGACAGTGGCCAATAGCAATTGTCTAAAAATAAAAGCATACCTGCATGGAGTGATTCTTACCATATTATATGCTTCTTCCAGCTTCAGGCAATGAGTGGTTTGAAGACCTTCCACTTCAAGCATAGATGGAACTATTCTTTGTGATTTTACCTGACCTCCTCTCCTTCCCCACAGCCTTCCCCTCTCCAGCCTTCCCACCACCCTTACCGTCTTCTACGCTAATTACACACTCTGTGAAACCCTCTGCTGGCACCGGGCACCGTCCCCAGGTCAGCTTTCCTGTCACAGATGCTGAGGCACAGAAGTGGGGTGAGAGCAAACAGCCATGGCTTGTCAGGAGTAAACAGACACAAAAATGGATCCAGGTCTCCCGACTCTCGGTGCAGTACTCTCACCACAGTCTCTGCTGCACTAGGAAATGGAAACCAAGCCCACTGCTCAAGAAGAGGAAAAAAAAAGATCCCTAAGGATATAAAAAACTCAATACAATTAAAAAAAAAAACAAACAAAAAACCAAAAACCCAACACCCAAACTTGAAACTATGGCACTTTGCTGGGCTTGTGTGATGAACAAGGCAGGGAAAAGGTGTCAACTAAATATAGGAAACTGAGCACCTGGAAAGAGGGAGAGAAAGGAGCCTGAAGACTCTTAGCAAACCTTGCTGGGGGTTTGAGCCATTGAAAACTGGCAAGTTTTGTTGAAGCTGATGCTCAGGGTACAGCTCGCTATCTGCACAAAGCAGTGGGAGTGAGCGATGGGAATCAGCGCAGCTGCTCTATGCCTGACATATCCAACTGGGATGGAAATCCCACCATATGACTTTGGGGATAATGTTAAATCCATTACAGCATTCTCCCCTCCCCTGCTCATCCCACACAAGCTTCAAAACTTCTGGTTTATGACTGGCTGTTGGAAGATCATTGCAGGCTGTCTCTGGAGGGATAATCCTAAATTTTAAGTGACAGTTCACGGGTATCTTCTATTTCTTCTGAAATGCTGTCTTACACAGCACATTAAGTATTTCAGAGATTAATAACTGGAGCAAAGAGTTCTAATCTTGGTGTCCTAGCAGAGATTTAGCAAAGAACGGTTACTGTTTGAAGTTGCTATGGCACAGGAAACATAAGAAGCCTTGAAGACCAAAAGCAACGCTCGTATGCAGCTCAAACGGAAATCTGGGACATTAAACACGTGATCTATGTTTAGTCTCCAGGGCTTCTCACTGACGTGGTGTTTCCACTCAGAGCAGGTCTTAGGGACGCTGCGAAAGGTGGAACCCAGTTTGAGCTCTCTTTTAGATTAAATAGACCAAGCTTACCACGCCTGCTAAATTGCAACTTGTACTTTTGTATTCTTTGACCTGAATTAGGTGATAACTGAATTGTATAATAAGGTTACAGGTTGCTTTGAACTTAGTGTACCGAGGACCAAACGGGAACCACTCGACCCTCTCTGAACTGGCAATTGCACTGTCAGCTCGGAGGACACCCGCCGGGATAAACACACTACAGATTTTGAGGCTGCTTGCACAGCAACTCGCTCAACAGCAGCCCTACAATCACTTAGCAAAAGCCCTCACAGCATCAGTTCAAGTTTCCTGTCCACAGAATGATCTTTTCTTTTTTTTTTTTTTTTCCCCATGAAACAGTTTTCTCATAGCAATTCCTCCTACCACACCTCACACAACCAGAAGTGCCGTTAAAAAGGAGCCAAGCAGGTGCCTTATTGGCCTGTTCCCCTCTCAGGTGGCATAAGCCAATGCACAGAAGAAATAGTCCAAGCCCCTTCTGGGTTTGGGGAGCCCTGTGCCAATTATATGGAAAACAACCAAATTCTGCACATGGGTATAAGGAAATCTTGCCACAAGTGTCACAACGGTGGAGGTCCACAAGGACTCCGACCAACACTACCGTCAAAAATAATGCCGTTGCATCCTCCTGCCCTCAACACCATGCACTCCTTCCATTTGTCTCCTGCCAGCACCAATGCTCACATAGCGCCACAGCAAATTGTATTGGAGAACTGAACTTAAAACAGGTAAAATTAATCCCATTTTGCAATGTTCATGCTTTTCACAGGGCTACTCCAAGCAACCGAATGTCCACCAGCACATTCAGAACAGCCTGTGACTGTGACCACATTGTTCGAGTTCATCAGTCAGTCCAGTTATTGTGGGGATAAAGTAACAAATTAACAGCTAATATTTAGGAGATTATAAAATTATGCTTCCTTGAAGCTGTTTAAGCAGCTGATCTCGCATCTCTGCACAGAATTAGATAACTCTGCTTTGAATTAATGCAAGTGAAGTGGTTGGCACGATCTGGCCAAATATTTAAAAGTAATATAACCATCCACTACAGATACCCTATTCGGCCTTCATTCTGGAACAGTTTTATGCACAACACTCACTTATCTATTTAGCAACCAACACCAAGTATCGGAACAAATTTCTGTATCTTGAGTACCCACTCTGCCATTACAGCTAAAGATAAGTCAGAAAGGGGTCAAACAGCAATGGCACATCCTATACTCTACTCCAGGTCACTGATAGGAACCCAGATCAGAATAGACACTTTGTTGGGGTGTAAATTTACTTTTCAGCACAGCACGTTTTTCCACATTCTTTACCACCCATCATGCCTTAATGGTCCTGAAAATTAGTATGCCTTCAGGCAGCTAGGGATAGGATCAATAGTCCAGACTTGAGGTTACCTGAAGGTAGCAAGCTCCCTTCTCCTCCTCCTCCCTCTGCCCAACAGCCTGTTAGGACCACGTGAAAGGTCCACCAAAACCTGCTTCCCACCTGAGAGCCACCAGTGCTGGGTGCCGCAGGAACCGTGTAAGACAGCAGGTCTGTAACAAAACTCTGCTCATACGCTCGCTGAGGAATGTACAACTGCAGGATCTCCTACACAGAGGTGAGACCTTCATGTTTGATAGCAGATTTTTCTTTTTTTAAGTTGTAGCTCTGGGTAATACTTTTGGAATACAGAAACATGTGTATCACATCCTGTGGCAACAAACTCCTCGCTTGAACACCAACAAGCACCTCACACCCTTTGTTTTGAATCTGCCAGAAGACAACATATCTTGATGCTCTGCAGCCCTTGGGGACAGCAAGCCATCACCTCACCTTCTTTACATGAGTTCTGGTCTGGATATTCTCCCCCATATTTTCCAGCCTAATAGTTTACAGCTCTTGCCAAATTAATGAAGTCTGCTTAGGTTTCAGTTCAGCATTTAGTATTGATTATTCTTTTGGGAAAGCAATAGTGAGTTGTTCAGTGCAAGAACTGAATCCCCAGTCAAATTTAAGCTAAAGGACAGGGGCTTGGCTGCAAACCTGCATTTTTCAGCAAGGTACAACCAATGAAATACATCCTTATTGCTGCACTCTTTAAAGAGGTCAAATCACTGAAACACAGAAATAAGTGGTAAAGCAAGAAGTTTGCTTTATTGCTAAAACAACTTTTGATAAAAAAGTCCCATCAGTCAAGAGCTGCCTTGCTCAGACACTGAAAAGATTGCACAAGATTTGGCAGTCCTTCTGGACTGCACTTTATGGAGGTTCTGTCTTTATAGCTGGACAGTGCTTTTTGTGACCATGTCTCCACTTTCAACCCAGACATCAATATTACTGACACAAATGAAGTCAAAAAGTATCTGAAATCTCACCACTCATTCAGTGGCAGTTTAGCAGAAAGCGTGTAGCAGGCAGGAAACCAAGACACAAGTGCAGGAGGCCTCGGGAGGAAAGGCGCAGATCAGCCCCTCTGGCCTCCAGCAGCACGATGCGTTCATGTCCTGACAAATGCACACTGTGACGAGCAAGGGGGACGCCTGCTGGACTGACTCGCTTCATACAAGTCTTGATCCAGCTTCTAGATCATGCAATAAAAGCAGTATAAAACCAGTACATTTTAATTAAATAAAAAAAGAGATGTAAAACATATACTCTCATAAAACCCTGAGTCTTACTATGAAAGTTTATACGATGGTATTTTTCCTCTGGAACGTGCTTCTCCTGTGCTCCTCCTTGCTGACACACACTCCTGTGCTATGCATGAGCAGCACTCAGCGTTGCAAGTGCTCCAACCATTCCAACTCCCACCCCAGCGTGGCTTGTCCTCCTCCTTCAAGTGACTGGATGAGAAGTTTAGTGTTCTTTGAGCTGCCAGCAAGGCTAAACGAGGCCTGCACCCCATGCACAGCTCATACTGCAACCCAGTAACTCTTCTTTCCTCTGCGCTGTTATCTCCATCCGAAGGTCTGTGACAAAGGCGCGGTGCTATGCCTGCTCACAAGGATTGCCTGTGCTGGATGTCAGCACCCTGCTAGGTGCCAATGCCTCTGTTGTCCGTGGGGCCTGCTTTGGAAGGCGAATGGGAACGTAGACATTTGAAGCACAATGTTCCTTAAGGTATTCTCCTCCTTTTTCTTCATAGTCTTTTCTGGTTATCCAGCCTTCCTCACGGGTCATGTATTCCACTGCCCAATCCCTAGCCCCATACCAGGCATCTAAAACAGGACTGGAAGCAAGGTGAACCTGGATGGAAGGAAAACAGAACAAGAACGTCAGTTCAACACAGGAGAGAAAAGCCCTTTTTACCCTGATCACAGTAGCATATGACAGAAACCACTGAATTTCAGAAGTTTGAGCTGATTATTCAGCGCCTCTGGGGAAAAGTAATGTTAGGAATGGGTCCGAAGCACATTTTCACTTTGAGGTCAGTTCTCCATGAGCCTGCTGTATTTCTACAGGTTGAGAAAGCACATGGATGTATCACATTCATACCCAACAGCCCTCACAGCTGGAAGCCAATGCTAGAAGAGTCGGTGATACTGCAAAACAAGTATCAAGTGCTCCAGCAAAATTTCCTCCCTCCTTGAAGTAGTAGTGAGGAATACTGCAGACTAAGAAATCGCTGTATGTGCAAAAAGACCACACGTACTCTTTCCATACATTCAAATCCATACTTTCATTTAAATTATTCCTATTACTGTAGCATGAACTGCTTTCCTGGTTCAGCTATGGGCTTGCTAGACTAGCCACCACGTAAATCCCATGTGTGATATCTGTGAAGTGACAGCTTTCTGATAGGACCACACTACAGACTGCATTTTAATGGAAAGAAGGGAGCTCTTATTCAGTTACAAGCAGCAACCTTAGGAGCAGAAGAAAACACGTTCATTTTCTTCCTATACACACAAGTTGCACATTCAAAACTTAGTAAGCAATACCCTTCCTAAAACTACCAAGTATATGGCTGTAACTTAGTTTCTGTCAGCCACACCTGGCTTACAGCTACGTACAATAACTGTACAAAACAAGGGTTGTGGAGTCTTTTTTTTTTTCCCCTCCTCAGTTTACAACCTGATTTTCTATTCAAGAAGTTAGTAGATTTGAGAAGACAAGGTAGTTTCAGAACAGCAAGGGAAGCTCTTGCAACTCTCCTTGCAAAATGCATGGCAAACTCTGGGACTCAGCCAGCTTGTACTGTGCTTGCTACCGAAAACATAGCAAGGGATCACAGGTTTGTAAGATACTTGCTTAATCTCTTTTGCTGCTGTCCCAGACAGTCATTACATGTAACAAACTGAACATGTAACTTAGTTCTGAAGTGAAACTAGTTCTTCCCAGCAACTACTCTTAGTAGTTGCTTGTTCCAGATAGTAACTGTCTCAATCCTAAGAAATCATCTGCAAATTTCCAGCCAAACATGCATGGTACTTTAGCTGAAGCAGGTTTTCCCTTTCCAAAGCATCTACCCTACTCTCCCTAATGTCTTCAGAAAGAGCAACGGTATCTTTGCTTAACCTTCATTTTCTCAGGTCAAAACAGCTGTTTCCAGTGTCTTGTCATAAACCACTCTCCGTTGACATGCTCTAAGTACACCCACTCTGTACCTCTCCCAACTTGAATTCCTTTTCAACACTGATGAACGGACTGTTCCTGTAACCATCCTGCCAATACACGTACCTGAAAAGACGACTGGAATGGCCTCATTTCAAGGAGTTCCTTCTGGACTCTGGCTTTCAGTCCAGGGTACATTGTATTTCCACCAGTGAGAAAAACATTCTGGACAAGAATAGCTTGTTGCTCCTTTGGATACCTACAAGGAACAAAACCCAACTTCAGTCTTTCTCAAGGACATGTCTCCCTATGAACTGAACAGCTATGGACTGGTACCTTATCTTCAGGATTCACTTTGAGAAACTTCCTTCATCTCCCTAGCATGAAAACCTGTGTTCATTTGTTTTCTGGAAATTCAGGGGGCGGCAGAAGAAAAGCCTTAAAACAGTCTGTACCCCACAAATCCACTGGAATTCTTACATTTCAGAAAATACAATCTCGTGTGTTCATACAGTTCAGGGGTGACATTTTGCTACTGCTAAGTTGTCTGGAAATAGTGGTGCAGCAAGCATGCCTATTTCATAACTAAAAATGATTTTGATCTCGCAAAACCAGAGACTGCCAGCTCCTTGTTTCAAGGGATGGATATTTACAAAGGTTTCTTGTTTCCCTCTATAAAAAATTGGACCAGGGGTCTCCAAAGCGGGGTGTCAGCAAGACAATCCACTGCAGTGCAGGAAGAAGGTATTTTTGATACCATTAATAAATAAATTAAAATATAATTTATTTCAACTTTATGTCAACCATTTTTTAATTTCTATTTTTGTGTACATTTTAAAATGTACATAATATGCTGGTTCAGTAGTACTTGTATGTAATTTATAAAAATACATATATTGGAGGTGTGTGCTCAAAAATTTTTTACTGATGGGGTAATCAATCAAAAAAGCTTGGAGACCACCGACTTAAGACAAGCAGAGTTACATGTGGTTTTCAGAACACGAAGACATGTCTAACTTGCAATGCTCAACCCCACCAGAAAGAACTATTCAAACATATTTTCTCATATTATTGTTGAGTAACCAGTATTGTGAAACCTTGTATCAAGACAAGCCTAGCTCATCTGAAGGAAGTGCCAAGTAGCTTTGTAAACTCACCTCTCAAGGACATATTGCATGGTTTCTGCTATACCAGCCTGGTCTTCTCCTATCAGGGAGGGCTGGAAGACAATCTCTGGAGCCCTGATTCTTTCAGTGCCAAGAAAAAGCTGGTGGTACTCTGCCAGGTTAAACACGGGCTTTAAAAAGATGAGATTGAAAAGTATTGGGAAATTATGTTAAAAAAACAGTAATATTCTAGAACAACCAAAGTTTCCAAACAATTCTGTACAAAAACCAAATGGCAATGCTCTCACAGAGAAAGGGCCATGCTGCAAAAGGTTCCAAAGGGCCAAGGAAGCTGGACTTTTCCTATGCTTTATTCTGTTTGGTGCTGCTCAATTCTAAGGCTCAACCTCACAAGTTGAAGACACTGTCCACTGAGATGCTCTACTGGGCTATGCATCACACACCAAAAACACTTGAGCAGGGCTTTTTTTCCCTAATAACATGGCAATGCTACAACAGGCACTGCCTGCAGAGTGAGCCAACTGGGTATACTCATGTTCTAAACCATCAGCTAAGATTCCAAGGGCTTCTTCTGCCTTTATGTCCTGTTCAGATAGTTTGAGCATCCCTTCCAAGAGCAGGCAAACAATGTTTGCATTTAGAGAAATGTTAGCAGACTAGCTGGACAACTTGGGAAGCAGCAACCTTTGGCACAAGGTATAGATATAGAAATCAAACCTGTACTGCAGTAACAGGCTTCTCAACTTCAGGCTGTTCCTCAGCAAACAAAGGTTCAAATTCATTAATACTTTCCACATCCTCCAGTGACTGCTCACTGCCTAAGGGATCCAAATCAGGAGTCTGGAAATAGAGAAAGTATATTATGGTAGGTTAACTCAGATGTGCTAAGCACATACATGACTTCAATTCTGGTGATGCATTTGGAAAATTCAACCCAGATTTCCTCAAATCTCAACTCTTTAACATGCCTGAAACCAAACATGCTGTTCTCCAGCACTGAAGACAAAAATCAAAATGGTGAAAAACACAGAAAACAGAAGAGAGACATTCACTCAAAGCATAAAAATCAAAGACTTTCAATAAATTTATTGCAATGCCAGCTCAGAAATTAAAGGCCTTAGTTAACAGGCTGACTGCCAGGATCCTAGCCAGCCATGTCCTAAATATAACAACATACTAAAATTTACAAAAATAGCTTTTTAAATTGGTTAGAAATTGGTGCAGTCCCAGCACCTCTAACTGATCTATAATTACCATTAAATTCCCTGCCTTGCTTGTGTGGGATTGGAAAGCAAATATTTGCTAGCTACAAAGCCACCACCCAATTGACAGTTTCAACCACCCAGCACTTGCACATGGGATATACCAAAAGCCATTACTTTTTATGCGGATGTGAAGATACTCCAAAGCCTCTTCCTAATAAAAAGTATCACTCAAAATCCTAGAGTACTTCACTGCTCTAAAGTAGGAGTAGCATTTTAATTATTTCCTTTTTTTGTGTTACAGTGTTACCTTTGGGGTTTTGTTGCTAAAGGTTTGTGTTTGTTATTTGAAACTTGAAACATTTGTTGCAATGTCTAGCAAGCAATACCAGGATGAGATAAAGCTAAATCATTTAAACAATCTTAAGTTATCTAGCTTACACCCATTTAAAACACAAGCAATTACTCAAACTGAAGTTTAAGTAGTGTTCATTGTTACAGCAAACAAACAGCAGTCACCTTAAGTTCTCTCAAACGTTTAAGCTTTGTTAAATCCATTTCTTTTTATGTCTTAAAAAAAAACCCAAACAGCAATACAAAGAAACATATAACTCAGCTGAACACTTGGCACAGACCCTAAGGACAACATAATTAGCTTTCAGACTCCTTTAAACAGCTACAGATGGACGGCCTATCTTCACAAATGGATTCGGTGACAATTGTAGGTACTCTCACAAAGCATAGACCAAACAAAAAGGCTTGCAGATTCATCCCAACGTTTGAGACTATATCTAGTAAAGAAGACGAGTGGGGGATCCAAGACAGATAGAGAGACGTGTCGGAACTTAGGCACAAACACTGGGCAAAGTTACAAGTAGCTGATAGTCGTTTGATTATCATTTTGCAGAAAAATTTCTTTTGACAGAAGGCAGAAAGATTCTTTACCACAATGGTAAGCCCATCATTTCACTCAAACAGAATCATTCCGATTCTTACACAAGCTTTACTGATAATGATTGGCAAAATAGAACACCTAGAAGATACCGGCTCACCTGCTAGATTTGGCTAGATCTCAAGTTCCACGTAAGACACAAGAACCCCTGTATCTGGCACCATTCTCCTCTATGCTTCAATTTTCTGTGTTTCTCTCTACCTTTTCCTGAGCAAAGACTTATCTAACGAGAAAAACTCTTACGTGACTTGAAAGGCAATTACACGTAAATGCATGAACTGCCTTAGACCATGTCTTAGCAGCAGCTGCTATGTGCTGGGCCTGTATTAGTCCGGCAAAGCAGACAAATAGGCCTCTCATCTTCAGCACAACTCCAACAACCAAGAGTGGCAATTAATCTCTCATTGTTAAGCAAACAAAATAGAACATGCTGCTTAACTGCACCAAAAAAGACAGCCAAAATGAAGGCAAAGGGTTAGTTATTTACCATAAAGTTCTCTGCATCTGAAAGGGAACAGAAAGGAAAACAAATACTGTTTTTAACAAAAGCTTCATAGGTTCATCTATATCTTTAACACAAGGCTAGAGGCATTTAAGGATAGTTATCTTAGGAGTATAACCACTTGAAATTTAAGTACTTAAAACTCCATGTCATTTAATTATCAGATCGAAAAAGAAAAAAAAAAAATCTTTAACATACCAGGCCCACTTATACCACCAAAATTAATGCAAAAGCAGAGTTAGAGGTTAGTTTAAAGCATGAACAAAATCATTATGTTAGCTGCTGCATTTGCAACCCTCTAAGCAAGTCAATCAACCTTAAGTAAGGACAGTGGCTGGCATATGCTGCCAGGAATAAGTACAAACGGAAGCAGTAGTATCTTCAGTGGTACTTTCTCTGACCCACTAGGGCTATTTTCTTTTTCTCCAACTACTTAAAGGTGTGCAAGAAACGTTCAAGGAAAATTACTCATTTCATATAACTGTATACTTCAACTACTGCCAGGAAGCCTAGAGATTATGCGTAGAACTATATGGAATCAAACTGTAAGATATGTCCCAGAGCACAGTGCAGAACAGCACAAGAAAAGTTACTGATTTCAGGCATACTGTATAAAATCAAAACCATCTCTTTCTTTAGCTGCATAGGAAAGCTGGAAAAGAGAGAACCAGTTACCAAATTAACAAGGAGTTGCAGTTTGTTAAAGGAAAAGCTTAGTTCAGCCATCAATAAAAGTCTGAAGAGGCACATTTTCAAGCATAGAAACTTAATTCTCTCAGACATAAGAGGATTAACTTGGTGAAAACATTATACCTCTGGCTTGCTGTCCACAACATCTACTTCAATATTGACTTCTGCCTGTAGGATCTTCTGCTTCGTTTGTTCAACAGACAGACTCAATTTATTGATGTAAGACTGAAGTTCTTCTGCAGAGTCCATGTTCAGCTCCACCAAAGCTTTGTGGAATTGATCCATTTGACCATCTTCTAAAAGTTCCTACAGACAGATCAGAGTTAGCTGTGATGAAGAGTACATGGTAAACAACTGTCCCTCAACTGTGCGCATACAGACACTTTGCCTTCATTACTAGATACCACGATGTACACCTTCGGTAGCTTTCAAAATATTTCACCAAAGTAGTACTGTTCACAACCTGGAAGCATCCTCCGCATCAATCGTTTCTCCCTTTTCTCTTGCAAGTAACCTTAAAAAATCCCTATCAGAAAACACACAGGCAGTCGTAGCTTCTTTACAGTGATGCATGACCTTCTGATAAAGCCCAGAGGGCAGCCTGCCCTCCTCCAAAAGCATCACAAAGAAAACTTTGCCTTGATTACCTGTACATATAGTAACCTGTCCAGCCTTTCTTGGTCAAGTTGCAGCTTCTCTTCTCGACGACGTGCATTGAGTTCTTGAAGTCGACGTAGCTGCTGCTGCCGCCTCTCCTGCTTTTCTTCTGATGTCAGAGTGCTTCCCAGCAGTTTGTTAGAGAAAGGCAGCTGCATCTTGTGCATGTTGTTCTCGTAGTACTCTGGGGACCGCCACTTCTGTAGCTCTGAATGTTTTGAAAGCAAAATAACTGTTTTGCCAGGCTGAAAACAGTGATTCATATGTCGTATACACTCCACGCTAAGTTCAGACTTAGAAGAGGGAAGGTAACAGTACAGCCTAGGTTTCTGCCCACCTCTTGGCAGCTGCCCCCATATTTCACTACCCCTGAGAGCACTACCTTCCAGTCACATACTCACTGCACAGGCTTCTCAGCGGTCTGATCTCCAGCATGCAGGAAACACAAAGCACTAAGGAGTGGGAAGTGCACACTAATGTCTCTTCTCTCTTCCCGAGGCAAGGAAGAGTTCTCACACATTTCTAAGGACCCCTGCAGGCTCTTTCATAAGTGACAAATTTAAGAAAACACTTCTTCGGCCACTACTTAAGATGACATTTATGGAAATTTTAAAACTTCTATAATTCACAAAAAGTCATGAGAAACGTCCTCTGCAATTTTGGAAACCTTAAAGCAGACAGGAAACATGGCCAGATGCAGAAATCATCCTAATCAATTTAATGCTTTATTGGAAGTACGGAGCAAAATGACTAATAAAATAAACTAATTTTAAAATCTTTTCCTCTGAAATAATCCCAATTTTTATTCACAGAGAAATTTGAACTGATAGATTTTTTTTCTGTAATTTAATTTTGTTTCTATCTTAATGTTAAGTTCGAAACTGTCGTCAAGCATTTCCCATGAGGTAGATTACCAGAAAGACAGCTATGAAGAAAGCAAAACAGTAGTAGAGTATTTCAGCCAGAATCCCAGCCAGTTTGAGAACAAGGGATATAGAGGACAAACCTGTTTGGATGACTACTATCTAGTAGAAAATTGCGGCTGGTTTTACCTTCTATGTAGTCCTCTGCAATGTAGCTATGCTCATGCAGTATTTCCTCCATGCGACTGAGAGTGATGGCAGCAAAATGTCCTGGGTATTTCAGCTGAAGGAGGCGTTGGAGATACACAGCTGCTTGACACCCTCCAAGATTAATACGTTTGCAGTTTTTAGCATCCAACCTGAAAATGCAAAGAGACACAACTGAGACTGGAGAGATCCACAAGTTCAGGATAAAATAAACCGCCTGCTTTCCCAAGTATTACTTAATTTCTGATATGGTCACGTAAACAGGTGAATATTCACAGACAAATATTTCAAGATTCAGCTATCAGAGAACCTAACATACCCAGTTTTCTCAGATAACAAGCACAATCACTGCTTTGGTTTTTGCAGATACTTTCTGAAAAGCCTGTTCTGTTTTAAAAAAACCCAAACATTAAATAATTTTGGCTACTGGAAGGAATGTTCTATTTTAAGAAGGGAAGTGAAGGTTAGTGGGGCTAAAAGTAGTTCCTTTAACCTTTGTAACATTTCACAGTTGGCCAGGTGTAACCCTCAAAAACGTGAAGCATCTACCAGATATACTAAAGCCATTTCCTGCAGTAAGGAAAGAAAAAGGAAAGCAGAGCAACATAGCAGCATAATCAGAATGATATAAGCCTCAAGAACTGCACAAATCTCACAGAGCACTTGCTTTTGTCCCAAAGCTGCTTTAAAACCTAACATGTTTTTTGATGCCCGATCTTACTTGGGGCAGATATCTCCTTCTACTTTTGAAAGTACAGATCTATGCATGAATAGTAACTAAAAAAACAGTATGTACAAGGACAGCACTGCTTCTTTAATTCAAAATTCAACAGAACTTAGCAAAATCTACAGACCTAGTTTTAACTTCTCAGCATAAATTACACCCTGATAAGAGCTTATAATGCAGGAGCTGAAATACTGAATGGTAAAGGAATGGGTATTTGCATCACTGAAAAGTCAATGACTGACAAAGAGAGGCTGCACCATTCTTAAGACATCAAGAACTCACCTGCCTTCTAAGACTGGCAAAATGTGCGTACACTGATAACCTGAAGATATTACCAAGCCACTACAGGGCCAGTTCTGCCTTCTGTTGTGGTAAAAACTGTACAAGCTATCTACGCCATAGGACACTTTTGGCACTTGATAACATTCAAAGAGGAGCTCTGACATCATTTGTCTCGAATACAGAGGATTACACACCGCTTCTGTCAAAACAATTGGATGATCAACACAACCCTGTAAAAGACAAGAGAAAGGAAAAATAATAAAGGCATGAAGGGAAAATCCAGGGATACTTATCCTTGCTTCTTCTTTTGAAGATCAGCAAGAACTCCTCCAAAACAGTAATGAAAAAGCACTTTATGTGCAGGCTATTAATCATGTAAGATAAATTACACCTAGCGCTTTAGAGGGTAAAAAAGAAGGCTTGTCTACAGTGGGGCTTCCAATGTTAATTCAACCAAAGAATAAACTCCTAAGAGTGGAGCAGAATGGGTTTTAAAAGCATATACGAATTATTAAAAATCTAAGTAACCAAAATCTAAGCAATGAGGTGAAGTGCAAGTGAAAACTGGTGGAAATTTAGTTCAGCACTCGGTGAAGCTTTTGAACTGGCGTTGTCACGAAGGCAAAAGGCTTCACGGTCCGAGGAGCAGCTCTCAGCTCAGCTGGATATACAAAGCAGGCAGGTGATGAGCACTACCGATAAGCGCACTATACAAAACTAGCAATGTTTAGGGTCCTCCTCAAAAACTGATCCTGGGCACTGGTTCTCAGCCACAGCCTGACAAAACACTGCAGTCCAAACGTCTCGCCCTGCAGCTGTATCCTCCCCCTTCCATCTCACCACAAAACTATGAAGAAATTAAGAGAACAGCGGCGTTCGAAAGACCCCCCCCGGGGAGCACCTGGCCGGGCCAGGGTTGTCACAGGAGGTTGCTCAGGGCCCGTCCACC